CAATAGCAAAGACTTGGAATCAACCCAAATGTCCATCAGTGACAGACTGGATTAAGAAAATGTGGCACATACACACCATGGAATACTATGCAGCCATGTAAAAGGATGAGTTCGTGTCCTTTGTAGGGACATGGATGCAGCTGGAAATCATCATTCTCAGCAAACTATCTCAAGAACAGAAAACCAAACACCGCATGTTCTCATTCATAGGTGGGAACTGAACAATGAGATCACTTGGACTCGGGAAGGGGAACATCAGACACTGGGGCCTATTATGGGGAGAGGTGAGGGGGGAGGGATTGCACTGGGAGTTATACCTGATGTAAATGACGTCATGGGTGCTGATGAGTTGATGGGTGCAACACACCAATATGGCACAAGTATACATATGTAACAAACCTGCACATTGTGCACATGTACCCTAGAACTTAAAGTATAGTAATAATTTTTAAAAAGTTATAACTGTATAGTTTTTTGAAACTGTGCATCTTTATTTAAAATATGAGCCAAATTAATATTGAACACACATTTCTATTTTAATAATTTCTCAAAGCTTTCTAGCTGTAATTTGCAAATATATTTACTTACAAACTAATATTGTTAAGATCTTAGCATGAATCAAAAGCAATAGCAGGTACAAGGATTTCAGCCATAATTTCAAAATAATCAACAGTTCACTTGAAGATCCAAAGATAAAAGGACTAGATTAATGAATTATGGAAATGAGACTATTTCTTAGAAAATTATTTTCATGGGTACAGTAGAATTCATTGATAATGGAGCTCCAAGAGTGACTTTTATGTATATTTGTTACTATGAAGTTTTAAAAAATAAAGACATGGTGATTAATTCTCCATGGCTTGTTTATGGTTGTGAATATACTGATGTGACATAAGGGATGTAATTTTCCCTCATGATCCTCTCACCACTTTATCTTTCTTGTAAATACACAGGGGCAAAATATATAATACGTAATAATTAAATTATGCCTATATGTGAATATATGTATATATATTTCAAAGCACAAACACTTCACTTGCATTTTTGCCTACATTATTCTAACTTCTTTCAGAAAATTACCTAATGATCTGTGTCATCTACCTTTTCTTGTTTTATTTTCCCATCAGGAAGACCTACTACATTATTCGAGACAATGGCAAAAGCTGAAATATGGCTTATTCGAAACTACTGGGATTTTCAATTTCCTCACCCACTCTTACCAAATGTTAAGTTAGTTGGAGGACTCCACTGCAAACCTGCCAAACCCCTACCTAAGGTAAACTATTACTGTTTGTTTGTCTGCTTTGAATTTTCAGTGCAAATGGTTCTACATTCATTCAGAGTGTTTGACTTACACTGGAAGAAACATGGGTAGTGGGAAGGTAAAGCACATACCAATTAAAAACTCACATACATGTTGATACCATCACAAGTTTGTGAATTTCATCATTATTACAGATAAAGAGGGATACTAAGGAGACTTTGAAAATAGGGTGGGTAAATTAAAGCTTTGATTATGCAACACATAAGAAGGTACTGGCTGTTCATTAAAAGAATATTTATAAGGAGATTAGCACACACCACAGGCAAGTGTGTTGGACACAGTTTCTGTCCCAACACACCTTATATTTACTTTGAAAGATACAATATATGCAAGTAATAGAAACTGTGCAAAAACTATTATCTCCAGGGAAAAACCAATGCTAAGGAAGCATCCAGTGTAGATAATAGAGTATCCTGGAGTCACTGATATTAATAATTTAGATGAGAGCTGAACAATATGCGGGAATAGATGAAACAATGAGAGAGAGAAAAAAGCACAAAAAGAAAAGCAGGCAAAATGTTCAGTGCAGTTCTCAAGACTCAAAGTTTAGTTTGCAAGGGAGATACTGAGTAAGAATCAGATGACGCTGACAGAGCCAGATACTCCTTAGGAACTGAAACATGTATTAAGCACATTCAGGAACTACTAAAAAGAGTTAAGAAAAGAAAATATGTGATAAGATTATATTTTAAAAAATATTCCAAGATGTTCAATGAATTAAATTGCAGAAGGGCCAGACTGGGAAGATCCGACCGTTCAGAAAATTTTGTATGAATTCAGGTAGCAGATGATGGAAAAGTGAACTAGAAAGTGGATAGAATTAATTATGCCTACTTTTGCAGTAATAGTGCTAACCTCATATTGTGTTGTGTGGAAAAAAGTTAATATAAATAAACCACTTAAAATGTCTCTGGCATATAGTTAGTGATTCAGAAATATTATTAATTTTGCAATTATGGCTGTTGTTGTTATTACGAATACTACTAATTACTTAACATGTGTAAGTCACTTGAGATATCATTCATCATTTAATAGAAACTAATTATTCAGTGCTTCAAGATTGCATTCTCTAACAAAGTCCTACCTGTCTTCTATATGACAGTTACTTTGTGGATTTAATTAAAAGAAGACATGTCAGTTCTGACAGTAAGATGAACGAGCTGAAATTGTAAAATTCTACCATAAATGATAAGGATCTTCACCAGTATTCTAACTTATAAGAAAATAATTCCTTAAAAATATAAATGTATTATTCTAATAATATTTGAAGCAAGACCCAGTGTTCACTTGATTTTATTCAAATATTTAAATCATTCTGCATTGAAATTCCAGAGGTTTACATCTTAGCATAAACATACCCTATTAGGGCAGGTGTTTTCTGCCTTAAAACAAGCAACTCAGTAAAGCTTCCTGGGGTAACTTGTGTCTCAACATCATAGCTGCCTGATAGAGAAGCACAGAAAAAATGAACAATGCATGTATAATAAATACCCAATAATTTCTACCACTTGTATCTGAATAGTGCCCTTAGTTTACAATAACAAAAGAATTCTGTCAT